GCTCTTTCTTACGAAGATTGCTTGCAAACAAGCTAACAGCAACTCTACCTATGATTCAAGGGGATAAAGAATAAAAACTGGCACGAGGCTTCATTTCACGCACGTGAAAATTCCATTTTGGGCAAGAGAGATCATAGATGAAACGTTCTCCCCTCTGTCAAATATCAAAGGCTATTCAGAAAATAGAATCCAATCTTTAGATTCGTAAATATTCCGGATTTCTGAAGGTCCGGACTTATCTCGCCTCGACTTCCCTTTGTTTTAAAAAAAAGTCACACAGGTGAAAATCCCATTTTAAACAAGAGGGGTCACAGATGAGGTGTATTTCCCTTTGTCAAATGGTAAAGGCTATAGGAAATCAGTATAAAGAACCCAAATTTTAAATTCATGCATTTTTCGATTTTCTGAAGATTTGTCTTAGCAAAAACAGTCCGACAGATTGGAACTAGGTAATTTTTCGAGCGAATCTGTGTATCCTTCCATGTTCCTTCATTTTATGTAATATAGTTCTTCATTTTCTATCCGGAAGCTAAACCAGCTAAAATCTACTACAGCTGAAAAAAACTGACCTGCATTTCGGGTTTCGCGCCTGGTTTCTCCGGATTGTAACGATAAATTTCGAATGTTTTGATGCGTTTGCCGGTCGGCGGTGCTGCTGCTGTCGCTGATGCACAGCGTACCATCTGGCTGACGACATTCGCCGAACGACAGAAGCCTGATGCACTTCGAATCATTGTTCCGCGAACCTCTGTGATAACCTAAAATGAATGTTATCTTAAGCAAAACATGTGGACTTGAGCATAGGACGCCTTTTACGTAAACGATCCCAAAATAAACCCATGAAAAGCAGCACTTTGAGCGTATTTGTCCCAGTAACATCCATAACATTTGCGCACTTTTTAATACTAAACAACAGCAATACCTCCTTCTCCGATACGACGTCAAAAACGCTATTGCGGGACAAAATGCAAAAAAAGGGGTGGATCGGCAAAAACCAAGCCGCGGGAAGCAAAATGTAGCCCGGGAAGTAAAATTTTTACAAAGGACGCTAAATTTTACTGAAGAGCCAAGAAAAAAAAAAAAAAAAAATCTAGGAAACGCTGGTATTATACCCAAAAACCACAAAACTTGGTCCAGAAACACTGAATTATCAGTGAGAAAGGAACGATATGGCAAAAATACAAATATCACAACAATACCAAGAGGACGTGAAAAAAAAAGATAAAAGAGGCACGGGGCAGGAGAGCGAAGAGACACGGGAGACTTGACCAGGCGTACCCCCTCCCCTCAACCCCCTTTTCAACCTGAACTCTGTCAACGACTTTTGCTGGCAAAACTGAAAAGATGGGGGGAGGGGGCGGTTAGTGAAACAATATTAGCGGCCGCCAAGACCACGTGGCCGCCTCCAGTTTGTGCTCTCTCAGGAAGCCCTACATCAGCCATGGGCAATCTCTGGCTACACGCGGGCCTGATTTACATGCTTACTTAAACTCGCGGACCACCTTTTAATAAAACTCAGGTAACAACACACCAAGTTTGCCCATGCGATTATGTGTTTTTGCGCAAAATTTGACGCAGTCAGATTGTTAGTAGTATAAATAGACTCAAAGTATTTTTCAGGCTGTTGTCTGTTAACCTCGCGCGTATTTTAGTTTTATTTTCATCAGAGTGCGGAGGCTTGCCGTTCATCTAGTTAGACACCACATTCCCATTCCCTCCGCCGGCCAAATCCGGCCCGCGGGCAGCCGGTTGCCCACTTGTGCCCTAAAGGATGAATTCGCAGTAATAACATTCCCTTCAAACAATAACAGAGCAGCAAGAAAGCCACCGGCTTGGTGGGTATGGAATCCGTGAATGCGGAAGACAGAAAATCGCAGTCGACAGCCGCAAATGGTGATGACAGTGGAAATAATAATAACAATAACGACAGGAGTAATAAGAATAATAATAAATAGCAACGCGCACCAGACTACCCGGTGCGATCATGCGTTTTGTGCAATTCAGCCCACCGAACGATTGCCTATTAATGATTTTCACTGCTTTGTACTTTGATCCATGCAAAAACAGTTCAAACATTAGAAGACAGTTAAAAAATTCACGCATCAGCGCATGAAAACTGAATTCGAAACCCTGAAGGGTGAATATCTTTCCGTGATTCCCGAGTTAACAGTTCACCCCCCAAAACTTTCACGAGGCCGTAGGTGATACTGAAGGGTGCGGGAACGCTGAATTTGAATAAGCAAGGTTGAGCGTGTGCAGGGAGTCATTACCCTAAAATTCCAGCTTCCTGGACCCCGTGGTTCCTGAGATATTAATTTACCCGTAAAAAACTTTCACGGGGCCGTACGAGTTACCCACAGGTACGGGAAGGCTAGATTTGAATGGGCAAGGTTGAGTATAGGCAGGGGGTCATTACTGTAAAATTTCAGCCTCTTAGACTCCGTGGTTCTTGAGCTATTGATTTATCCGTAAAAAACTTTCACGGGGCTGTACGAGTTACCCGTGAGTACGGGAAGGCTGAATTTAAATTTGCCGCGTCACCCGTTGGCGGGGAACACTATACCAAAATTTCAGCCGCCTAGCTTTTGTGGTTCTCGAGTTAAAAGTGCGGGACAAAATGTTGTACACACACAAACACACACACAGACAGCCCCGTGACAATATACGTTTTGTAACGCTGTTACACAGCACAAAGCGCATAATAACAACAACGACAAAAGCAATGTCAACAACAGTAATAATAATAATAGTAACAATAATAATAACAACAATAATAACGATGATGATAACAACAAAAGTAATAATAATGATAATAACAATAATAGTGACGATAAAGCAGCAACAATAACAACAATAATAATAGCAGTAATAGTAATAACGATAACAACAGTAATAATAATGATAGTAATAACAATAATAATACAAACGATAATTTGATTACTTCTGCAAATGTGGTGCTAAAAATTAGAAAAGAAACTGAATTATGTAAAACTTTATTAAATTAATAATTGTAAAGGGATGTTTCGGTCCATTAAGTCGCCGGCATTTTTTTCTGCTGCCAAAACCGCACCTCGTCAAAAGTTGCCAGTTGCGCAGCTGAAGATTTGGACTAAGAATTAACAGTTGAACCATGTATTCCAGGTAACAATTTTTCCAAGTGATGATGGTGGTTATGAAAGGACACGGAACAATCGCTGATGGGTGAACGGGATGACTAGGAAATAACGATGGCGGACATACAAAACATTGAGCATTTTTCACCGAACGAACGAAAAAGGAAAACAGCAGCAGCAGAAGAGAAACCAAAAAAAGAGCAATACAGCACTGAGTCCTCCACCCGTTGATGATACAACCACCACTTAAGAAGTTAATTCGGCGACGATTTGTTACTTAAAAGAAAAAGCCACTAACGAAGCTATCAGTCCAGGTAAATATGCTACTAGATGCGGTAAGAAAGCAACCGATTTTACATGTCCCTGATGTGGAAGACGTCCAGAACAGCGCAATAAAAGTACGGGTGGAAAAGCTGGCAAGAATCTCTGTGGAAACGACCAGGACCGAGTGAAACT